AATGTTATCAAGTGATATTTCAGACAGTTTCAAATTACATGAAATATCACCTGTAATCAAGTAATATCATGTCATGTCATGTCATTTGATTATTTGAAATCATTTCATTAGTTGATTTCAAATGCCTTGCATTTGAAACTGTCCTAAATCACTTCAGACACGATATCACCTGATATTTGAAAAAGGTAAAATGCTATTTTTATTATGGTCTACAATCTTTATCCAGAATTATCAATTTCAATTTAAATTAATTCTTAGTTTTATTAAAATATAATGATTCTAAAATAGCCTTATAATTATTTACTTGTAACAAATATAATCCAGGCTGCAACATAAAAAGAATTTAATACTAACTATATCATGTATTGTATATATTAGTAGTGTGATTGCACTACAGATCTGCTAGTATATCTAATTTGATTAAACTTTCATTTTTTGTGTTACTCACAGCCCATTTCTTAATATCTATACAGGGTTCCTTCTTTTTATGTTTACAAAATGCTATCATTTTCAGAAATAATTCATTATATTTGTTTCAAAAAAATAATACAATGTAAATATTTTATAACATAATTTATAATAAATCGTACCTCAACTTTCTCCACATCATCATTTACTTCTAATTTAATTGATAGTGGAAGATCTTCTATACAATTTATATCTCCATAATTTTCTATATTTTCAAACTTAACTCTATTAATATCATTGTTTTCTTTTGATAAAGAATGATTATTAGAATTTTGTGGACTATTTTCTTGACCTCTTCTATAAAAAAGTTAAATTTTATTAGAATAATTAATTAATAATTAAATTTTTAAAACTCATAATATTTAATAAATACATAATGATTTTTTATTATTATTGAAAAATTAGATATATTTTGATTATATAGAATAACAATAAAATGTTTATTAACAGTTATAAATCATATTATTTATAATTTTTGCATTTTATCAAAATAAATTAATATAAAGAGAATAATACAAGATGCAGTCAAAAAGTTCCAGGATTGGTGACATGGTGCTACAATCACCCATGTACTGAACTTGCATGAACTAGGATGCATAATAGACATCATTATTTAGCTTCCCACCAAATTTCATGCCATTATCTTATGTAGTTTTTGTTTCTTGCTATTTAGATTAGATCTGTGTCCTTGTCAATTTGCAATTTTCATTGTTTTGTAAAAGGTATACTTTTAAGGAATGGCATGTAAGTGTGAAATTTTATTTCAAACTTGGCAAGATGGAAACAGAAAAAAAGTGATTACAGGAAACGAAACATGAATTTATGGTTATGACCCTGAGACAAACAACAATCAACTCAGTAGAAAAATCCTGGCTCACCCAGACCAAAGAAAGCACACCAAGCGAGGTGTGAGGTTTGATCAAGAATGTGCTCATTGTTTTTTTTCGATAGCAGGATTATTCTCCTCCAAGAATTTGTTCCACAAGGTCAAACTATGAATAAAAATTTTTACATGCTTGCTTTGAGACTACTGTGTGAAAATGTCAGATGAAAAAGACCATATCTTTGGATAGCTCAGAATGGATTATTTCATCATGACAAATGCCTCCAGACACATAGTTATCTATTCAACAGTTTCTTGATAAAAATAAAATGGCTGTGATATCCCACCCTCCTTATTCACCAGACTTAGCACCATGTGACTTATTTCTATTTCTATCATTGAAAAAGGACAATGATTTTAGAACATTTTTTGCATTCAAACAGAATCACAGTGAGTGCTTAACTATGTCACAAAAAAGTTCCAGAAATGTTTTGAAAACTGGGAGAAGCTTTAGAATCTATGTTCAGCTGCAGAAGGAACTTATTTTGAAGGTGACAACTCTCAATAAATTAATATGTACATCAGACATTTTTTTATTGACCAGTCTCGGAACTTTTTGCCTGCACCTTGCATTAATTAATATGCAATCAGAAGACAATATAATTTTTTCTAGAAAAAGCTTGCCTAGTCCAACAAATACTTGGTATTGGGAGGCTCTCCATCTGGTCACTCAACACTACTTCCAATTTAATGGCCAGTATTTTTTACAAAAGCAAGATGTCCCTATGGGCTCTCTTCTCTCAGCTGTTTTAGTTGAGTTAATTATGAGAAATATAGAGTATAAAGTGTTTTACCCCATTACGACATACCCCCTTACATCATACCAGCCAACTCCTTTCAGCCTCCCAGATATATAAATGTGCTCTTATCCAAAGGGCATATTTATACTCCTCGTCACCCTCACTTAAAAATTGAGTCAAGTTGTTACAGCAGTACACAATGCTGGTTGTACAACATCCAAGTTCAAGTATGCCAATAATCTTGTCCACAGCTCTCTTTTTCCACCAATTTCTTTGAGATCTGATGACAAAAAGAAGAGTTGGGTGTTTGCTTAACTGTCCATTCCATATTTGGGGGCCATTATGCATTGTATTGTATGCACTTTCAAGAGAGATGGTATTGTACTTCCTATAAAACCACAGATTTCTCTGTGCAGATTATTATATAATGATAGATTTTTGGAGACGTCAGGGGTTTACACAAACAGGAGCAAAAATATTTTATATCAGAGCCACAACTAGAAAATTGGCTTGCTGTTTTCAAGATCATCAAAAAGATGATATCAAAAATTGTAGAATCACTACCAAACTTGCTAGAAATACTTTAGAAAATGGTTACAATGTATTATGGGCTGATATATACCCTACTTCAACAGTGCTCAGATTGTAGTGTCTTTTTCATATGGGAATTGCTTTACATAACAACACTTAGTTCCTGTAATGAATCTTCACTCAATCTTCCAGCAATATGGCGCATGTTATACAGGAATTTTTTCAATGTATTGATACATTCTATGGAATACATTTTAAATTTGCCATTTGGAACACATTAACATATATTTTAAATTGTAAGGTTTCATTATTCTATACCTGAAGAAAACAATCTGAAATTTGTCAAAAGTACTTGTAGTACTTGATATTTCAAGTAAAATAATAATGCCAACAGACAGTGTTAATATTTTATTATGCAACAAAGTAACCAATACATTTTTAACACTGGATAAAGTATTGAGTTGTAAACTTTAGTCTTCAGTCTACTCTTTTCTTCCAGAAATTTCTAAACTAAAAATTAATTTATTATAATTATTAAAATTAATGAGATGGTGGCATATCCACCTACCTCAGTCAAATTAATTGGTAACTAATTATTAATATAGCTTGCAAATAACCCAATAATTCAGCAGACTGGCTTTAACTAATTAAATCAAGTTTTGAGTTGACGTTATTATATAAACCTTAGCATTTCTTCAAGTTTACCCACTGTTAAAGGCATATTGTTACATCATTAAGTTATCATCACACATCACACAGCTAGTTTAACTTTATGCATTATTCAACTTCTGATTTTTGCACTTTTAATTTGGCAGAAATCAGAGAGAAAAACAAGTTTCTTTGCAAAAATATATTTCTGATGTTGTCCATCTCAAAAGCATCTTGCTTTATAAATGATGTAGTTTCTACAAAATTTGGGAAATTTTCTGGCTTCCTTACATGAAAGGAGAGCAGGATATTTATCCTTGACGTGATTTTTTTTCATTGCTTTTTTCTTACACTTTGTTCTTTACTTCAACAATGACATCATCTTCAGATATGCATCTGCAGACAGCTAGATAACATTGACAAAATATTCAAATGAAAACATCTTTTGAATAATGTTGTCTATATTGTAATTTAAAGTTCTCAACAATTCCCTGATCTAAAAGTTGCTATCTACAAATTGTATTTGGTGGTAAACAGCATTATACAGCATTAGTACTTTAACAAATCAAAAATAGATTTTACCTTAGTATACTAAGGTAAAATCTATTTTGTAGAGATAAATAGACAGAAAGATTCAATTATGTCCTGGTTGATTTGATTCTAACAAAGACTAATATTAATATATTAGTCTTTGTTAATTAATATATTAATATCTATATGTCTCCTTATCAAGTGATCTTCATTTTTCTAAAATGGTTCAAATAACCATGTAATTATGAGTTTGGGTTTGCAGAAACCCACAAACCTGGCAAAAGCTTAAAGCCAGTAATAGACAAATATTGCTCGCCCACAATCTTGCTAGAGCACATGCTCAATAAGTTGATCGGTGAGAATTTACCAATGCACAATTACAGCATAAAACAATCACCAGACCTAATCTGGAGATTACAGAATATGGACCAGAGGCAAGAATTTATTATGGTAATGGACTTTAGGCAATGTACTGTGAGGGACGAACAGACCCACAATAAAATGTTATTTTAAATTTTAATTATTGGAAACTTTAATCGGTTAAATTCGAGCGTTTTATCGAGTTAGGCTAAAAGCCATAAAAAATTATTTCCCACGGAGTTTGTTCCTTGTTGAGTCTGATCCAGTTAGTCAGGGATGTGTCACCAGGAACTTTTGATGGAGAATCCATATTGGACGCGAGACCCTTAACGGCAACCACCTGACCTCATGGAAAAAACCCAAGAGGAATAAGAAGAGAAAAGAAAAAAAAACCCAAAGTCAGTCATCATCCGAAGTCCCTCTACAAAAGTCGTCTTCACAAAGTCCGCTCAACAAAAGTCGTACTCCCGAATTAAAATCGTGGCCCAGGATTAAACCCCGAGAGAAAAAGATCGTGCCTGTTTAAGGATAACATCTCCACACCTCCGTGCCTCCACCCCCAGTGAACGGACAAGATCCAGAACCAGTAGATTGAACTTTCCATCGGCATATCATCATTGGCGTGATCACAGATCCTTCGACCCAGAAGCAAGGTATTTATCAACCCGCGATTCGCATGTAAACTCTCTCTCTCTCGAACGGAATAGTATAATTAGAGGGCTAAGCCAGATATCTGTATTTTCTTTAGTTTTTATTAAAATTGTTATTTGTTAGCAACCATGGAATCCGAGTAAATTACTTCCTCGTCTCTCTCCTCACCTCTACTCCGAATCCAATCGCTCACCTACTGCTCGCGTGACTTAACGTTGCGATTTCCGAGTCCCCCAGAGACTCGGTGGTGTCATCCTGACAGGGTGTCGAAGAGACACCGACCCTACGATCACATACCCCTTGATCAAACTGAAATGGTATTTTTGTCACCTGAAAGATTTCCTACTGAACAAAATCACAAACTCAGGCAGTTTGCATATGGAAATTCTAGAGTTGGCACACCTGGCTACATTTTCATCATTTTTCACATTCAAAGGGCAGGTATATGAAAAAATTAGAGGAGTACCCTTGGGCAGCCCCATTTCTGGGATGCTTTGTGAGACGGTATTGAGATCATTAGAAAGAGCAGCCATACCAAATACGGGATGTGACATTGTTGTATATGCACATTATGTAGACTATGTGTTATTAATATGGAAGAAGAAACCCAACATCAGAAACTTTATGGAAGATATTAATTCAAATACATTTGGATTAGAAATAGAATTGGAGCTGGAAAGCGATCGCTGTGCACTTCCTAGACATCTTGATCAAGTTAAAGGAAAATATTGTCACCACAGATATTTGCAGAAAGTGGATATATAACAATATTCACACCATGGGTCTCACACAACTCAGTAAGTTATAGATTTGCAGCATTTGAAGCTCTCATAAAACGAGCATGTACTCATTGCACCAACATGCATGATACGGTAAGAGAGCTAGAATACATTGAGAAGATGGATCATCAGGTTGGGGTCAAAAGAAAAACAACAAAAGAAAATGATTTACAAAGGGAGAACAGAAGATGCGGAGATGAGAAGAAATGATATACATAATGATTATGCTGTTGTTGAATATATGGCAATGCTTAGTAATGTCTACGGAGAAATCGCAGTTGAAACTAACAAAAATATCGTATTTAAAAGAAACCCCATAGAATACAGGATGCTAAAGAATGACAAAGAGGCCATTGACCCAAAATGAAACAGAATACCTATAAAAGACAGCTGAAGTCCTAACCATGTAAATACCTTAATAGTTGATTTGCATGCAGAAATGGAAACCTAAGTTGATGACATTTAATCAAATATAGTTTTTTTGGTTTCTTCTTCATCTGTCCATAAGAGGAATTCTTCATTTAGATGCTGTTTTACTCAAAAAAAATTATGTTAGTCCTCCCAACAAACTTTTATAACAGTCTTTCCATTAATAACATAAAATTAAAAAAAATAAGCAGAAATGAATGAAAGGATGATAACTTGAGAAGTTATTTTCAGAATGGTTTTTACTGTGGCTGGAAGTTAAGTTCTGTATCCAAAATGGCAGGAGAAGAGCCACTATGTGAAAAAGTGAAATTGGGCACAATTCACTTTTTCCCATAGTGGCTCCAAATAAGTCCTATTTATTCCTATTTATAAACAAGCTCTATGTGGATAATATATAAACAAAAATTGAAATATTTAAGGACATAGAAACACAAATAATTGCACACATTTTTGCTTCTATAAAATATACTCACTTACAATGCCAATCTCGAAGAAAAATAAAATACACCATCTTTCAATGTTAAAATTGTTTATTTGAAAAATTTTTAATTACAAGCAAGTACTTTCAACATTTCAAAATGTCATCAGACAAACAGAGCATACACAATCTTTTAATGCGCTTTTTAAAAATTGTAATTTGAATATTGTATGTTCTGTTTGCCCAACAATGACATTTTAAAATGTCATAAGTACTTACTTGTAATTAAAAATTTTTCAAGTAAACAATTTCAATGCCAAAAGACAAGTGTATCTTATTCTTATTTGTATTTCTAATTATTTTAAATGAAATTAAACAGTAAAACAGATGCAATAGGGCTAATACGAATTAAATAAGTTTCAAAATGTTGTGTAAAATGTATATGTAATGCTTCAATTAAATTTTAACAAATTGGAAGTAGATTCTGCCTTAGTGTATTCTGTGTATATTTATATATACTTGTTTAAAACACAGAATGAATTTCTGCAACTATCAAATGAATTTCTCCAAAAATCTGGCATACTATTTGGATGAGCAACATTTTTTGTTAATGAATGTATATCAAAATTACTGCAGGAAATAAAAAGATAATTACAATAATGTTAAATGAACTACAGTTTATCCCGATTATATCATCATCCATGGGACCGACAAGTTTTTGACGTTATAGCAGAGTGTCATTATCTGCGGGGTCATAATTTCAGTCCCATAAAAAGTACCCAAGCGTGTTTAAGAATCTATTATAAAATTCATTCTAATTTAACATCGTATGTATTACTGTAAAATTATTTCTTAATGGTAATACAGTATACTGTATCTATTATGATGATGATAATTTATTATCATATGTATAAAAATGCAAACTACATGTTTAAATCAACTTTATTTACATTATTATGTCTAAGCTTACATCAATGCAGATGTAAACTTAGACATAATAATGTAAATAAAATTAAAAATTTCAAAAATTACCTTTATAAGAAATTTCTATTTGTCTTAAGTTTCAATAATAGCAGAACTTCCGGTTTTTAGAATAATGTTAAATCAAAAGGCAACAAAAGGTTAAACTAATATATGCCAATTAAAAATAATTCAATTATTTCTTTATAAATTATTGATATAATATGTTATATTAAAAATAATATGAATATTAACAATTTAGCATAAAGTAATTTAAAAATGAGTACATAATAACTGATTGTCACGTGGTTTAACAGTCACCCCATCGAAGTCAGATGGTTTGAGTACCACTCACAATCGTTCTAGGAAATGGACTCTGACCCTAGGACTGAACATGTAGTATTTTCTTTGTTAAATAAAATTCGTAATCTAATTTTGTAAATTTGGGAGTGCTTCAAATATGACGTTAAAACAGGGTTTTATGTTGTTACAAGTGGTTTTTTTAACGCTATCTATTATAGTAAAATTGTGGGACTGATAAAAATTTGACATTATATTAGGGTTGTTGTTACATCTGTTGATGTTATAATCAGGTTAAACTGTATTAAAATTTATTCTAAATTTGATATTTTTATGAAATACTGCTTAATAATGTTGTAATATTGTGAATATCACAATTTAAAAAACTAATAGTAGTATAAAGTATTAATAAATGTTATAATAAATTAAACTTTTAAACGAAGTACAAATAATTAAAATAAGTACTAACTTGGTTTGAGAATTCGGTTTAAAATCTGTATTATTCAGTTCTTCAGATGTTTTTTGTCCATCAGATTCTAAAAAAAATAATGTTGATAAAAATGAAAACTAAAAATTCAAAAATCAATTTTATTTTATAATTAATTTTTAAAGTATTTATTATAATAATACATAGATGATTAATTGCATTTCCTGAACAATTTCTGGATAGTTTAGCAAAATTTCTAAATAAAATTCATTTAAAAATCTTTTTAATATTTTTAAATAAAATTCCAGATGTTCTACTTGCTGAAAATATGTTAAATCCTCTCTTTTCAAACAATAATCTAAAGTGTATTATGCATAGGCTTAATTATGCATATAAAAACATTAAAATGGTTTAATGGAGTTAACAAACTATTAAATAAATACATAAAAAGCCATTTCAAGCACTTTCAAATTACTGTTACTGTTACTTCATAAATTGTCAATATTTTTCCTCCCGTTGCCAATGCTTAATTTTTTTATTTTCTCGTCTTACATGCTTTCTGCTCTCATATACCATGGCAGTCATATTGGATTCATCATCATAATAGAGTTTGATGTCTGAAATGGAATTTTTGTTCTTTTGTTTTTTATTATGTTTTATTATTACAGTATTATGTGAGGTCATGTTATTTCCTGTCACAGCCCGATATCAAAACAGGTAGTGTCCAAATTTAAACCGAACCCAAAATAAAAGACCAAAACTGGGTGGAGTGAATGGAAAGGTCATGAATATGGGTGCATGGTTGTTACATTGAAGGCTGACTTATATATTTGCATAATAAAAATAATTTATTGAGTAAGAAACATTCTCATTCCGTACAATATTTGGTTATAACCATATAAATTTTACTAATAATTTGTTCAAAACATCTCATAAAAGTTTATAAATCTTGTCACTATCCTTGTAAATGAATAAATGACTGCTAATTTCAGGAAGCCAACTTTTATTAATTAGAGGTTGCAGCTTACAAGATAACAGCGCTCGACATTCTATTCACATTTTAGAGATGAAAACTTTGGACGCAACCTCACTATTAAAAAAAACATTTTCAGTTAAGATCCGACTCTCCTCAGCTAAGAATCTTAATATTGAACAGTTTAGAATAATGTGGCATAGAATATACAGAACAGAACTCTGCCTTGGATAATATCCATGCCAATTCCAATCTTGGAAAAAGCAGGAGAGCTAGTGCCAGAAAGGGCATCTGATCATAAAACTTGCCAGAAGTACCTCAATCATGAACCAGAAATCCAAGGAACAGAGAATGCTAAGGCATACCCCAAAGTAAGCAATGTACAGTACAGTTACCTCATAGTGGTGAGAGATTATGGCAGAATTTATGGCAACAACAGCAATGAATAAAGAAGTGGATCAAAAGATGAGCATGGCACCACTCTAAATGTGAAAAGAATGACAAATAGGAAGAGAAGTTGCTGACATGATGGAAAAGAGATGAGTGGATGTACTGTGTGACCAGGAGACAAGATGGAAAGTGATAAAGCAAGAAAGTTTGGAAAGGAATCATTTTTAGTAGTACCAACAAAAAAGGAAGAAATGGAATAGAAATCATCCTGTCTAGAGATATGAATAGTCATATTCAGTTTCATATTCTCTGAAGTGACCAACTAATGCAAATCAACTTGACATATGAACTGATCATATTAATCACAATTCCTATGTCGCATAAGTAATATGAACAAAAGAAGAAAAGGAAACTTTCTGGACCTTGCTGGATGAAGAAATATAAATGATAGAGGAATATGAAAGAATATTTATTGGCAGAAAGTCAAAATAAAGAAATGGAAATAATACATAGAGGATATGGCCTTGGAGCCTTCTTTATTTCTCCTACATAACTAACAGACTGTCAGATTACAAATGATCTAGTCAAACTCTGGACTGAATAATATATATCTAATACTCAATACAGTAGAGCATCGATTATCTGAATATCAATCAACCAAAACATCGGTTAACCAAAAGCGTTCCTGTCAGCAAATTTAAATTTTCACTAGTGCTGTGGCACTGCAATATTTGGCTATGTCTTGGGCTACTCCAATATTATTTTTGTTGATGTGCATGTTTTAGCTGGCAGCACTGGTGCAACCATGAGAGGGTAGGTATTTAAGGACGCGCCAGGATTTGAACAAATTTCAACATGGGATAGGTTAATATATTTTTTCGTATATAATCGGTTATCTGAAAAACCGATTATCCGAACAACTCTAGTCCTGAATTGTTTCGGATAATTGATGCTCTACTGTAGTTCATTCAGTGAATAAACCCAGATGATGAAATATAATCAAACTTGAAAGAAAAAATTAGTCCAGAATATGTTTTCTTTTTTAATGAATCTAAAATTCTAGTTGAATGGTTATCTTATATTGCTGTACAAGGTGTGATCAAAAAGTATCCAACCTGAGGTCAGAAAAAATTCCTGCATATCTATTTGGTTCAAACACTACTTCCCATCAAAATAGGCCCCTTCTAAGTTCACACACTCCCAGCAATGCTTCCACTGTTGGTAGCATTGTGGCAGTATGCCATATTGTCTGTTTTTGTCCTTTTGTTCTTTGTTCACTTTTTCCTGTTCTTTGTTCTTTCTACCTTCTGAAACTTTATGATCTTCTTAATTCTTCTTTCTTGGAGGTGAGGGCCACTTCCTAGAATTCACTAACATAGTATGCAAGGTTACCCAAGGGTATACAAAAAAAGGGAAGGTAATTTTTTTGGATTGGTGCTCGAAGAGAGAAGACCACGAAAGGAGAGACATTAAACAACCACTATACAAGTAAACTGGAACTATACATGAACAGAATAACAGCTAAACACAGATTTCCAGCAAATAATTAATGATACACAAATATTTAATGTTCAAACATTTTCAGCCACAATTTTATTGGCTCTCTTCTGGAACGAATATGAATGAAACCGTTCTATAGATCAACTATAGCTGCATTCTACAGACATTACAGTGTTCAGTGGCTGAGAGAAGGGTGAGGCCAGAACTTCGAATGGGAACTTTGAAATTTCCAGGCCAAAGTTATTGTATTAGAGCCAACATTTCAGCTTGAAGAGTCCAAATGTGCAACCGACTTTTAGGATAAAATATAAAAAAAATCCTCAAGAACTGATGGAAAAGAAGATGGTAGCAAGTATTTTGCATTTAAGCTCAGACATGGTCCTCATAGTAACTAAAAGATCCACATATTCTTTCCTATCCTATCTGCCATCTTCACTACTTCTTGTCCCCTATTTTAAATTTTCTTTTATTAGAGTAAGTGTAGTATTAAGGGTTAGTTTTAGGACAATTATTCTTGTTTATAGTATTGAATTATTGTGATCGCAATTTGGTGTGATGTAGCAATTTTATTTTTGTAATTGTTCCATCAATGATCAGGTTTAGGGTTATTGCTAGAGTAACCATCCTCAAGTTGACATCTTTTACTTAACCTCTACATAGTTATAACACAAAAATAAATTGAGTTTTTAATAGCTACTGCATGTGTTTCTTTTTCTTGGATGTTTTCCTTAGTGGGCTAACAAAAACCCTTTCATATCTCACAGATTTGTTCAGTCATTTATTAGGATCTCCATGACATGTCATCAAGTTAGTCTTGATTGTCTTTGCATCCTGAAATTTCTTTCCTTTGAGTGGCATATTGATTTTGGGAAAGAGCCAAAGGTTGGCTGAAGCCATGTCTGGGGAGTATAAAAAACTGAACCTGTGCAATACAGTTTTACATGGAATGGCTGAATGAGATATGATCTGTGGGCTGGAGCATTGTCATGATAAATGAGTCAGTCACCAGACTGCCAGAGCTATGGTCTCTTGCACCTAACTGCATCTCAAAGGTGACATAAAACAGTCAGGTAGCTTCTTTGTCACAGTTTCTCATGAGGGACATACTTATGATAAACTATGTCCTGGCAGTTGAAAAAATGGTCAACATGACTTTCACACTGATTCATGATTGTTGTGCCTTCTTTGGTGTGGAGACCATGGCATTTTCTACTGGGATAATTGTGCCTTTGTCTCAGGGTCATAGGGCCATACTTATAGATCCAGATCTAACCTCTGGTTATAATCTTCATGAAATTAGGATCTGTCATGTTTCACCAAATCACTAATATGACAATAACAGAATGACGTTTTAAAAATTTGGGGGATTGTAGAGGATGAAATTTTGAACATTTTGTTATAAGGAACCTACAGCCGGAAATGTGATATAAAGTTTCTACAGCAGTAGGAAATGCTTGGCTGCCCTTCACTTTGGTAGCTAACCTTCCATCCATTGACATCATGTTATTGTTCTTGACTTCTTCCTCTGGGGTTATGTAAAGTCTCTTGTGTACGCAACACCTGTAGGAACAGTTCATGAGCTTATGGAGTGCATCTTTACAGCATTTAATACAATCAGAGGGGAGCATGGCATCTTACAGAGAGTTGGACAGAACACGGTTTGTCGTTGCACATTATGTAATGAAGCTGGTGGTCGTCACATTGAACATTTACTCTAAAGTACTGCAGCCACTGATTTGATGTACAGTTTGATTGAACTCTACTGTTTTGTCAATAAAACTTGTCATAAATACTGTATTCTGCTGTTTCATTCAGCATACTAACTGCAAAGTGCAAAATGCTGTAGAAACTTTATATCACATTTCTGGCTTTGGATTCCTTATATCAAAACGTTTAAATTTCATCCTCTACAATCCCCCAAATTTTTAAAACGTCATTCTGATACACCCTGTATACATGCAACTAACAATGACTGCATGACAGTGATTG